GTTGAGGCACATTCTGCGATTTACCTCCCTTACAAAGCTCTAGGGACGGGGCGGTGGGGGCCCTCAAGGTTGGGGTTCAACCTTTTTTTTAATATATGCGATTAGTATGTAATTATTGTATATTCCTCCCCTTCCCTCTCTTTTCCCTTTCTTAGCTAGCCGTGATTATTGTAAATGATTGGAGTGATTGTTGCAATGGCTAATATTTAGCCTTGTAATTAGAGATACTCATACTATTTAATGAAAGCAACTCTCACTTGGAGAGACATTCAGAAACCAAAATCAATTGTTTTGACAATTGCTTCTAAAAATGAGGTATAAAAGAAAAAAAAATGTACTAGCAAATGCTCATCATTACCCAATGCAAAACGTAACTCTATACTTCTTTACACATAATTAGACTAGCAAGCAACGAACAAATGAAGATTGTTATGACCAAATGCAATAATTGTTTATAATTTCAGAATAAATACATGATTAAGCAACGAGTATGTACATATGCACGGTTTGTTCCTACTAATGAAGACCTTATTCCCACGCTATATAAAATATAGATGTTATTACTGTAGTGGCATCAGTGACAGCGTGCTAAGGTTCGACACCATTCAATTTAGGGTAAATTCCTCCAAGGGCCCCCAACCTTACACAAGTGTGGTTGCCATGTCTCAAACCTTCAATTTGTCATTTGTGCCAACCATATCCCCATCCTTTTAACACTATGCGCAAGGTTTCCCCGCCTAGGGAGTCCCACCCCGTTAAACATTTAAGGCGAGGCAGGGCGGGACTAGACGGGGTGTTTGTCTCATTTACGTACCCGTTTAATTTTTTTTTAAGTTTTTTATGATTCATTTTATTGCCCTCATCCATTAAAGTGGGACAATAATATAGTCATTAAAATTCTTAATTAATTTATTTATTTTTAAAAGTTAAATTATTTGAATATAGTTGGTAAACTAAGGTCTTTATTGTTTATCATATTCCTAAATAATTTTAGTTGCCGTCTTCTATTAGAATTAATGAAATTTCGCAGAGTTTTTCATTTAAAATATTGAATTTTGAAAAAAAATAAATAAAATAGACGGGGCGGCCCCTATTACCACCCATACCCACCTCGTAATTGCCCCAGGGCGAAATCCCCCGCCTTGTTCGGGGCGGAGCCCCATGAGTGTCGGGTTTAACAGACTTTTTTGCTATCTCTATCCCCACCTAATTGAAAAAGTGTATTTAGACGTTAAATTGACACGCAACATGCATGCGACTGAAAGGATAAAACTATAAAAAAGAAGGCAATATTTAATGTAATTTGAACGGTCGCCTTTCGACTTTTGGAATAGAGAAAATCTTTTTGTACAATTTTACCCATCCAATCGAACATCAATTCATGTCTCTTTTACATCTAAATCAATGTTTTAAAAATCGATCATAGCATCAACCAGAAAAGGAAATAGGGTCGAACCGATGTCAAACCAAATGTCAAATTAAATAAATAAATACACACATAAACTATAAAATATTATTACAACAATAATTGTTTAATTTTAGTTCACTAATTAAAAGTAAATATAAATTCATGTTTGTTAATTAATTTATTATCCTAATTTAATATGTTCAAAATAATTTGTTTATGATTATAGCTTGTAGGAGACTATGATTTATTAATAAAAACAATAGGGTAAACTATAAAATATTTATAATTGAAAATTGGTTCCATATTCCACATCAGAATATTAGTGAATCAATGGAGCAAGAATCTCTTATAAAAGGAGCATTACCAAAATCAGATTTTTGGGGTTGCCAAATGGCTATACAAGGTGAGCCCTGAAAAATAAATATTAGAAAGATTTTGTAGAAAAATTCAATTAACCAGAAAAGCCTGGATCTGGTTTTTCAGTTCGCAGTTGAACTAGCTGATTTAATTGTTTTTAAGCAGTTTTCATTTTTCGGTTAATGTAATATGATCGAACCGTAATTGAGGACGGTTCATGGTTTTTTCAATTAAACCGGCCAATCTGGTTCGAATTTTATAGACATTTCTCATGGGTAAACATATCACACATACAATGTAAGAAGGTTTGGATACATGATTACAACACTTTTGAAAGTTCGGGTACCCTAGAGAAATTTCCCTAAAATATAACATGTAAACATATCACTAATATTCTTTTCATCCACGAGGAATTACTTTTCCACTTTTGGGGATAATTTTTTATTTTTAGCAAAATATCAACATAGCCTTAGTGAGTTTTCAAGTTCCACCAAGAAAGACTGATGGGTCAACATTTTTCAACTGTATATATAATCAAAATCACGAGAACAAGACGAAGGGAACATAAATCTATCCTCCCAAAACCAAAACAATACAACATTATGAAAGAATGAAATAAACGGAGATGTACTGTGTCATATACATTAAAGCAAGTGAGAAGTACACTAACGTCCTCTAATACTAAGAAATCCATATTTGTCAATCTATATAGAGCACAAAGTCGTTGTGGTAGGTCAAGCGGTCTATAAACTCAAGGTTTTTCGAGGCAATTTTTTATACTAGTTCGATAAACCTCTTAATCAAATCGATGAGAATTTTATGATTCCAAGTTTTTTATCTGGAACCAAATACAACAAAAAGCGGCAAAAAATTAAGCCTCCTACCTATAAAATTCCAGGTCAAATACATCGATTTCTTTTGTCACTGTGCACTGCTCATTGCTAGATCTATTAGAAATTTCAAAGTAACTTGATCTTAAAACTAAATAAATTATATAACAAATGCACGTCGAGATCTAGAGACAAAATAACAGGTATAGAAGATTACTCAAGAAAGAATTCAAGGATACAAAGAGATTCAAAACAAATATATAATCTTAAAGTAATTGGATTCTCCCTGATATGGAAAACATTATTTTCATTGTTCCCAATACAATTCAATTTTAGGAGACTACAATTAACCATATAAGAAATCGAAAGAGAAAGCTTTGGCCTTCCCTAGAAAGGAAGTGATGATTGAGCATAAATGGATGAATCTGCAATTATACATATATTTAAAGAGAACGCTTTAGTACCCCAATGATGAAACCCTATTACTTGTTGAAAATAATGTTGTAATTGTTGAAAACTTGAATGCCATATAAACTTAGAAGATATTGATGAGTAGGCATATAACATCTCAGACGCGTAAAGCATGCAAAACGTGGATATACATTTGAAATCCGTTACAAGTGAATCTTGGCAAGATGTCTATTAAAACCTATTAATATTATGCAATTTAACTTGACTAAGCAAAATGTTCACTCCCCAGACATCAAATATAGAAATAGCCTCCTAGCATAAAATGTGGTGAGAGGCCTCTGAAATACCTATTACTAGAATAGAAGTAAATACCACCTCAAAACTACAGGTAAGGATTGAGAACCCCAAAAAGTTGAACCAAAGAACTGAAACACTCCATTCCAGATGGATTAAGTGAAGAGGGTCTGATGGGTGTAAAAGAAGGTTGAGCAACTTTTTATTCATACCACAGTTTGTCTGATTCTATGTGAGGACCTTAATTTTTTTATTATGGGCTCAAGCTAGAATTAGGAAAATGATAATGTTACCAGAAGTTAAAGAAAAATATAATTTAGATAATATTGGCTGCTCAGGGCAGCCTCAACTTAGGCGCACATTTTTTTTAGGCTCATTTTGTTTAGAGTTTGACTGGGAAGTGTTTATAAATGGTTTAATTATAAATAGATAGAAATTTGTGGTGTACAACTGGGTAATACTAGTGGGCGCATGAAATGTGTGGATAAAAAGTAGTTTGACTGATTATGAATAGTTTATAAACATTAGCCAAATATTGGCTTAATGTACCAACACCCAACAAATTTAAAACTCTTCAGTTTTAAACTCCACTTGATTTCCTAACTTCTAAATAGACAACCAGCTCCCGAGTTCAACTTGAATTCTGCTAGACTCGTTCATTTTTTGCTTCAAGGCTGAATTAATAAGCCTGGATGTAGCTTAAAGTTTGTTTACAATTTCAAGCCAATCTCAAGCACGTCCCTGGCTAAAATTTAAGAAAATTTGTGAAAGATGCATTTTCCACTGTGGAATTATAGCTCTAAAAACTGAGTTTCTCAATGTCCCAAACATCCATCTTGTGCTGCAAATTGCCACTGAACTAAAACATTTTTCATTTGATAAAAAAAGGCATTAGATTTCTTTCTTTTAGAAAATTTAGTACAACTTCTCGTGTCACTTTTCAGCTAGCAAATTGTGACTTGACCTTTAAAATAATTGAGAATCATACACTAACTAACTTTGTTCTCCTTGTATCTGTTTAAATCCATTAATTCCACTTTTAGTCACTATATATAAGAAATTAAATCTAGAGCCTTTTTTGTAGTGATTATGAGTTGACCATTAAAGAGAAAAGTAGGTCCACCCTTGAGTGAATAAGTGAAAAATGACAGTTGGAATAGAGATACGATGGTCAAAAAATTGATTTTTTTGGGTGAAAATTTGCTACCTAATGCGAACCTTTATTGAAAATTATTCCCATTCGAAAGACAAAATGAAGAAAAGAAAAATTATAACAGCATTTGGACTATTGAATAATCTAACATTTTTAAAACTCACAGCAACCTGCATGCAAAATGCCTATTTTAATTACAAAATAGGAAAAACACGTTTTTTTGGTAATTAACAGAGTCTAGCATGAAGAGATTAATTGACAGTTCCTTTACAAAACAAAGCAGATCGAATGCAAAATAAGTCTAACATACTCTAAACACGGAAAATAAGCATAAATTTATTTCCCCGTGGAATATATGAAGAACAAAATTCCAGGTCTCCATAAGGCGACTAATTAACCTAAAACAAAATTGAAATTCAGTAAATCGAAAAATTAATACTGAATACCAGAAAAAAAATAGAAAAACAAACATACATGTTGTTGAACAACAGACGATCAATAAAATGTAGAAATTGAAACGTCAGTATTCAAAAGCAAAAGGACTTACCAGCATTAATGGCGGTGTATGTGGGTGGGGTGGGGAGAGGGATGGTAATTTAAGTTCAAGAGGTAGAGAAAAGGGAGGGAGAGTGAGTGCCCCACCACAGCGCCAACGATGGCAAATTTTGAAATGTGCGTCATCCGCAATCAAACTAGAGCAACTTAACTTCTTGGTATTTGCAAGTGCTTGGCATTGATTTTAAGTATAAATCATATGAAATATGTGAATATAAAAAAAATAATAAATTATAAAAAAAATACGTGAGTAAAACGTGTATTTAATCGAATTGAATAATAATTTAACTTAGTCAAACATGTAAAGTGTATTTAATTCATTGTTAAGCTAATCATCAAGATTTTAAGTGAATGTTTTTTGGTTTATTTCTACCAATGAAATTTAGCCTTTGTTTGAGTCTCATTCTTCTGATAAGAATGAATTTTTGAATAGTGTATTGATGGAAAATGTGTGGTTAAAAAATAAGGAAAATTTTTGACTTTACGTATAATATTATTTATATTGAAAAATATGTGATTGAAATGATGTCTTAAAGAATGAAAATCAAACAGGGACTTAATTAATTTAATGAATGAAAGTGTTGATCTCGAAAATTGGACCTTCCACGTAGTCAATCGATAGCTACTCCACGTATTCCTCCTTGCACACATCAACGCATGGTCAGACGCACACGGTCGGGACCAGCGGGGGTGGTGACGACCGTACACATTCGGACAGTCCAGATGGTCGGAACAGTACCTAGAGGTTGTGTCAAAAACACTAAGGGGGAGGAGAAAATATATAAACTTGTTATGGAGTGTTATGTAGTAAAAGTTTCATTACCTTTGCCTCTTGCCAAACCTTGGGTATTTATAGGTAGGATGAACCGTTGGATGTGGGACACGTATATACATCGGACGGTATGAGACATCCGCTCATAAGCGTCAATCAGCCCCGTCTGTAGAGTGGGCGGGCAGTTTGTTTCTCTCGAGTTGAGTTGACATAAAGTTGATAAGTCACATCAACTAGTCTCATGGAGAATTCAAATCAATTTAAACCTTAGGTGCAGAAAGGATCTCGGCAAAAATCTCTTTCTGAAATTGGCGGCGGATCTTATGACAAAGGTCCACTTCGCCTTGGTCTCAGGGGCGAGTGCGTTTCGGTCAGTTCAGGAGGATCGCTTATATCTCGCAGTGTGCTATCAGGTTGTTGACATTGGTGAGATCACTTTGGAAACACTTCAGATGGGTGTCTATCAGGTCGGAACGTGTGGTGGTAGGCATTCTGAGACGGTTCAGATAGGGGCGTAACAGTGGTCCCCCAAGTCCAGGTATGAATATTTATATCATTGGTGGATTTGCTTTCCTGACCGGATGTGCATGCCTTGGTACTGGGGACCGCTATTCGTGGGAGCTTGTGGGTCGATCTTCTACAGTAACCAAAGCCATGATCTTAGGCAGATGTGCCAAAGTTTCGTTACTGCGTAACGGAAACAATAACCGATGTGAGGTCGAAGCGCTGCAAGACTGGACATTAGTAGGCAAAAAAGGTCAACGGGACGACCGAGGCGATGACCCACAGGGGACTCGCGTCAGGCGTGCCAAAGCTTTGTAAAATTGAGTGAGGAGCTCATCTGCCACCGGTGCGCTGACCCACGGGGGACGACGCGTTGGGAGATGGTTAAAACTTTGTAAAGTTTAGGAGGGAACGCAGCGGCCGAGGCGATGACCCACAGGGGATTCCGCGTCAGGTGCATCTAAGCTTTGTAAAGTTGAGTGAGGAGCTCATTTGCCACCGGTGCACTGACCCATAGGGGACGACGCGTTGGGAGATGGCTAAAACTTTGTAAAGCTTAGAAGGGAACGCAGCGGCCGAGATGATGACTCACAGGGGACTTCGCGTCAGATGTGTCTAAACTTTGTAAAGTTGAGTGAGGAGCTCGATTCGAGGCGATTCAAACGTCAAATGATTTAACAACTGTTGCGTATTTCCAAGGTAACAGTTGGGTGCCATGTCCATTCTCCTAAAAGGCTGCTGCGGCTACTTATTATTGACGGCTGGTGGTGATCGAGGTGACGCGTTTTATGCTAGCGTGAAGGTCACAGCGACATCTTGGGCGTAGATCAGATCTGGCGTTTCATTTCAAAGGCCTAGATTGAATATGCGACGAACGGCTTAGATTGATCGTATTTGAATTCAACAGTGGAGATTGGATGGGTCTTTCTATAAAAGGTGGACTCTGAGCTTTTCTTAAGCTTTCTATCCTTGCGAAAACAGATAATACACTTTGCTCTCAAGCCATTTGTAGTTTTCGACATTTTCTAAGCAATTTCGGCAAGAAACTTGAACTTCTAGTAAGAAATACCAACATCCGGTGACCTTACACCATTTCCGGCTAGGAAAACCTTCAAACTCTTAAGTTTTAGTACCTTTTAGGATTTTTAACTTCTGAAAAATGGCTTCTGAGGGGAGTTCTGGTTCAGGAAGGGGGTTAGAACTAGTGAAGATGGACGAGCCCATTGTGGCGACCTCTTCAGAAATAGTCGAGGCGATAATAGGGAAAAATATATGGAAGCGACTGGATAGCCCAGCAGATACTTCTGTGCACTGGGGGGCGTCGGACTACTCATCTAAACTAAGAGAGGCCGACCTAGAGAGACTTAGGGTAGAGTATAGGATCCCAGATAGTATAGATCTGATCCTCCCCGAGCCCTAAGAGAGGGCCTGCTACCCTAGACCGGGTTGTATGGCCATTAGTGAGGCGATCCTTATGGCCGAATTTAGGCTGCCAATTCACCCATTCTTTAGGATGGTGCTTAGATCCTATAGGCTAGCCCCGACCTAACTCAATCCGAACTCCTGGAGCCAAATGGTGGGCTCCCGGATGTTGTGGAAAGAGGCATCATTAGGGGTGGAGATGCCCTTCTCCGTCTTCCAGACCCTTACATACCTAAGGTAACTGCCAGGGGAGATAAGACCTGGGGGTAGAACTACCTTACTTCATGGGGTTTCCACACTCTATTCGTGCTCGATCTACCAAGCTCCATCAAAGAATGGAAGAGCTAGTGGTGCTGGGCCGCTGGGCGATGGGACACGATGGAGGGGGACCCCCGAGTACCCCTTACGGTCCCAACGAAGTACTCAACACTTAGTAAGTATAATAGTTGCTTTTCTTTATATTTTCCTTCGGTTCGAACCGTGACTAATATTTGCATTTCTTTTGTAGGTACCCTTCCTCGGTGTGAACTGTCTTCTGAAGACTTCACCACCATTTGCATCATCTATCAGCTACCTTAAAAGAAGAGGTCATACCATCAGCTGATCCGAAAGAACATTCACTTCGTTACACACGACTTGATGGCATCCCAAAGTAACTGGACCGAAGTCTTTACCCTTTATTCTGAACTTTTAACACTTATACTAATCCGTCATTCATTCCTTGCAGGCAATTTTAATAAAAAGATGCCCGTGTGCCTCAGCTTTAAGACCATCTAGAGGATGATGGCACAGGCAGAGGCACAGGTACAGGCACAGGCACTGAAGGCCTCATCTTCCTCCTACAAGAAGCAAATGGAGGATCTAGTGGATGCCAGTAATAGGCTTCAGCCTCCGATGGAAGAGGAGGTAGCGAAGGACCTAGAGGCTGATCTACGGAGGAAGGGCAAGAAGAGCGCTGCCCCTCCAAAATGCCCAACTGTGGCGAGGCCACCCCCCGTTCTGAAGCAGACCACAATTCCAACCTGGGTGGCCATTCTGGAGAAGAGGCCTACGTCATCTGAGGCTGCCACTGCCCCGGCCACAGCACCACTTGCTGCCGTGCTAATCGCTCAAGTGCCGGGGCAGCAGAAGAGGAAGAGGACCCATCCCTCCAAGGAGGTCGATTTTCTGGGCACAAATCCGGAGAAGCCGGTAAGGGAAGTGCTGGAGGCCCTTCCTCAAGAAACAGCTGTAGTGGCGATGATCCACAACAAATACTGGACCGAGGAGTGGAGGGACCATACCGCCTCCTGCACAACTGACGACTTGGTGGCTGCCAACAGCGCCTGGTGGCTCGGGCCCTGAGTACAAGCATCCAACTCGAGGGCTTGGTGAAGAATCTAAACTCCAAGAAGAAGGACCTCGCCAAGCGCCTCGAGGAGGCGATGCAATATGGGGATGTCATGCGAGAGGGCCGGGCCAAGGCCACGTAGGCGGAGGAGGGAAAGAAGGAGGTCGAGGCCCAGCTAACTGTCGCTATAGCAGAAGTGGAGCGGCTGAAGAAGGAGTTATACGAGGTGGAGTGCCAAGTGGCGACTATGACTGGCGAGTTGATCACGCCAACGAGCACCACAAGCTTGCCACCGAGGCTCTGGAGGCCTCAAACAAAAAGAAGGTAGAGCTGAGGCAGAGGACAGAGGCTCAGTCTGAGGAGATTGCCTCATTGAATGAGGAGTTGAAGTCTGCAGGAGAGGTGGCAATTCAGAACTTCATCGACCATTTTGAAGACCATCCCCTGTATGACGACTTCGCCAATTTTTGGGCCTCTTGGAATGCCCAAGGCTTATTGGGTCGACTGAAAGAGGTCCACCCCACTCTGGACATCTCCTCTTTGGAGGCAGAGTTCGGGGGACCAACTGAAGGTCGGCCTGATAGGCTTGCTGAGGAAGCTCCGGAGGCCCCGGAGGCGGCCGATGTAGAAGCGGTCGAGGCAGAAGTCCCTCCACTAGAATAGGGCCATCTTTTGTAATGGCTTCGGCCTTCTTGTACTTCAATTCTTA